TAAATAAATGATACATTGTATACAAAACTTTGAAAAATGGTAACATAGCTTTTACATACTGCTATGTATTTCCTATGCAATGTAGAGTGTAACTTTTGGATCTAACATACATAGTAAAGACATCCTATTTATTTACTATGTAACAATACAAAACTTTGAAAAATGGTAACAGCTTTTACATACTACTATGTATAATTGCTATACTGCAGGTGAGTAAGTTTAAAGAAGTCACTCATTGCCCTAACACACATTGTAAATATATCTTACTTATTTATATGTAACAATTTATATCAATCACTTTGGGTAAAACAAATATTTATATAGTACTACCTAAAACTGTTTGTAAGTTTGCAGGGTACTTAGGGGGAAATTTTATAGTATTTTTAGGTCACATAATCGCTCTTAGGTCTACGTCGTAAGCGAGAGAAGAAACCAGGCGATAGCGTCTTTGCTTCCTCGTCTGTGAATTCAAGCATTCTGACACATTCACAATCGCCTTAGGATTTTTTAAGGATGGCACCACTAAGAGGTCTACGTGCCAGGTTTATTATAAGTGACTCGTAAGTGGTGTAAGGACTACCATCTTCATCGACCGTATACTTTTCTGAGCCATCTTGATTAGTACTTAACCTTTTCACAAAATTACCCTTTGAAATCTCCACAAAGGTAAAATACAAATTTTCAACATTTTGTGAGTCCTGACTCTAGGGTACTTAGGAGGCATTTTTATATTATTCGTAGGTCACATAATCGCTCTCACCTCTAGTTTGTAAATTAGAGAAGAAAACAGGCGATAGGGTCTTCGCTTCATCGTCTTTGAAATCAAGCATTCCAACACATTCACAACTGCCTTGAGGGTTTTTAAGGATGGCTCCACCAAAAAGTCTACGTTCTGGATTTACTGCCTCAAGTGACCCATAATGAGTGTGACGACTACCATCTTCTTCGTCGACCGTATACTCTCGTGAGTCATCTTGATTAATACTTAACCTTTTCACAAAATTATCCTCTGAAATCTCCACAAAGGTAAAATACAAGTTATCAGCATTTTGTAAGTCCTGCTCTACATAGCTAAAAGGTCTTCCTTTTAGTTGTTCTCGGAATTTTCTACTTTTACTTCTCAGCCGGATGAAGATTATCTCAGGAGTGTCGACTGCAGGCTCTTGACTTGTCGATAACTTTGAAATTTCGTGTAATGAAACTTCTGCTAACTTCACTGGGGATTTCACTGACTCCCGAAATTTTAAGAGATACTTTCTCATGGATTTACGATCACCGATATCATCTGTTGATATCACTTCTTTGCTCGTTATCAGATAATTAACACGACTAATTCCTTTTTCAACTAAAAAACCCGAACCACTGCAGTCCTGGCCACTGATAACACAAAGCCCGAATTCGAACTTGTTTTTGCTACGCTAATCTCTTTCCTTCCGTCTGTATGATCGCCGTGGAGCGGGCATGAAGTGGGACGTCATATCGCAAACACAAGGCCGACACTATAGACCACTTTCATAAATGAATAAAGGCTGATAGTTTCTTAAGAAACAGTTTGGGGCTGCGTCGGTGGGGGTAACGAAATAATTTGAATATATCAACAAAGTTGAAATGGTAAATTGGCCACCGTTACGATTATAAAAGCTGACGTTTCGAGCGTTAGCCCTTCCGCCATTCGCTCCGACGAATGATATATTCAAACTTTCATAAATGGCTGCCGGATTAATATTCTTTTGTTTAAATTTAAATTACCCTTCTGGCCTCGCTAGAGATAGTGTATTCTTTTGAATTTTGTACTAAAGAACGAGGCCAGAACGGCTAATTTGAATTTAGACAAAAGAATATTAATCCGGCAGCCATTTATGAGAGTGGTCTATATTAACGTACTCGACTGATGCGCGAGGTAAGGTAAACATAGGCATGCTACGCATGCAGGAGTTATTTTTTTAGATACGTAGGTTGAAATGGGACACCATATAACTGATGCTGGTGTCTGAATTGTTGGCAAAAATAAACTGCATTGGTACAACGCTTCCTGCAGTCCCCTCCACAGCCCTAATTTGAACTT